GCACGCAGAGTTGGTTTCACGGACGCAGGTCGCTGTGGGTCTTCCCAGCAGGCCCAGCGGGAGACGCTGTGGCCACCAGGACTGTCTGTCCCATCCTCGCTGCATCCGCATTTCCCGGTGGTTGAGCAGTGGCTGAAGGGTCCTGGGTTCAACTCTGGTCAAGGGCACCTGCCCGGGTTGTGGGCTCGATCCCCAGTGTGGGGCGTGCAGGACGCAGCCGATCCATGATTCTCTCTCATCATTGATGTTTCTCTCTCTCTCCCTCTCCCTTCCTCTCTGACATCAGTAAAAAAATAAATAAAACTTTAGAAAGTGGTCGGTCGCCCAGGGTGTAGGAGAAGCAGGCGGCCTGGCTCACGGTCCCACAGACTGGGATCTGTGGTCCTGAGCCGGGGCCGGGGGGTCAGGACGATCGAGCGCTTCCTCAGCTCTTTCTGAAGAAAGAGAGAAACCAGCATCACACACTCCAGGAAACGTGAAAAACGATAAAATGTTTCACCCCCCCCCCTCTGGTCAGATGTTTTCCAAAAGCTGGGGGGCCCCGGCCACTCCGACACCTGTCCTCTGGGGGCCTCTGGCCACACGGGCTCCTCCTGAGGGGAGAACGTGAGGGCTCAGGCGTCAGCAGCCAAAACCAGGCCGGTGCCTTCGCAAACTCTGACTCAGACGGGAAACATGTGGACGTAGAGGTGACGGGCCGGCTCTAGAGCCGCGGCCCCTCTCACAGCCGGACCTGGCTGTGCTTTTGCTGGGAGATGCTTCCCTCCCTCCCTCCACGCGTTGCACAGCGTGCTGATTCTCTGCCTCCAACATGTGGGGGTCTCAGTCCTGGTTCTCACCTGCTTGGGGGTGTTGAAGCTCAGCTCCACGTGCAGAGGGGGGCGGGGGGGCTCGCGGTCGGCGGGCGGAGCCGGAGGCGGGTTTTTTGGTGGGTGGCGGGTGCGGCACGGGGCGGAGGCGGGGAGGGCCCCAGGGGTCAGAGGTTATCTCCGCCACCCCCTGCGGCAAAGGAAACCAGTCCATCCCTTTAGTCTTGTTGGTGGGTGCAGTCGGGACCCCCCTTAGCAAAGCGAGCGTCCTGGGGGCTCGCAGACTCTGAGGGTCAGACCCTTCCTGCGAGGCTGACGGGAGAAGCAGCGCATTCGTCGCCGCCTGAGTCTCCCCCGTTCGTTCCGTCACATTGATTCACAACGACGGTCGAGTGCGAGTCGGAGCCGAGCTCTGGATTCTGTTCTCTGAGCTGCTTGCGTTCCCTCCGCAGGCTGCTCACGGTGCTGGTGCAGCAGTGCGACCGCAGCGAGGTCAACCACCAGGACAGCGAGGTGAGCCCGAGGGACGGGGGCCTGGCCGCGTGCACACCGAGGAGGCTCCCCTAACCACGTGTGTGTGGGGGGGGGCGTGTCTTGTGTTCCCGCCCCAGAGCCGCTGTCCTCACGCCAAAGGCCACACAGAGCAGCCTGCCCGGCCCTGCAGAGGCCGAGCTCCAGAGGAGGGGCCCACGGCC